AGACTTTTTGCCGTATGAGTATACGTAGCCCAGGATGCACCACATGGAGGTAAGTCTATCGCACACCCCAATTCACAAAAAAGTTAATGTCAAGCAAAGTTCTGCTAAGACAATGATCACGGAAAAGTTGTGTCCGTGTTATGAAGACGTACCACTTATATTATTACAATTTTTGAAGTAGAAAAGAGCAAAATACCAGGACTTTAATTGTGCGTATAATTATTCCTCCTGAACTGGAGAATTAGTCTGAATTGCGCTTCATCAATGATCTGATTCGAATCCCATAATGAAGATTAAGAGGGATTTTTCCACCAAAAGAACATTGAATTCACACGTTTGTGCATTCATGTCTTTTAAAGGCTGAAGTGAGCAAGTTCGATAGGGTGGATAAGAAGGATTATTTTACCTTTTGCTAAAAATCCTACTCTGGAAATCGATTTTGTCGCTAAGTCTGTTTATTTTAACTCACAATTCATTAAGGCCTATTCAAGTTACTTCTTTAAAATATATCAAAATTGTGCACTTTCCTTATCTCAATTTTCAATTTAATGGGGTGTGTGATAGACTTACCTCTACGTGGTACATCCTTGGTAACGTATACTCATACGGCAAAAAATTCGATTAACCGACAGTTGACTTCTGACTTCTAACTATTATTATCTCACTGTATGTCATATTCCTCCATTTCAGCAGATCTCACCTTACCTTTTACTCAACATTTGTGCCTGATCTGTCTCTTTTACGTCTGTGAATCATTATTCTGTCCCCCCTCCCCTTCTCTTTTACGTCTGTGAATCATTATTCTGTCCCCCATCTTGCTCTTTTACATCTGTGAATCATTATTCTGTCCCCCCTCTCAACTTTTTGTCACTTTGGTGAGGCCTGAATTCAGCGAAAGTGCTAATGATAACCATCAAAACGCCTGCCATTTGATATAAATAAAAAATAAATAAATGTAAAAAGAGTCGTTTGAGTTAAATGATCATCTTTCAAATTTTTTACTGATACCTAAGTACTTTGTGACTTTATGATTATTATTATAATTAAAGATGCCTTCACTCTGGTTCCACATAGCTGTCAAACATTTGGTGTTATTTCAGCGAGTTGATAGTTTATAATATTAGATTATGATTGATTAGAATAATTACTTGCAAAGAAAATTCTTGAGTTTTTCGTTCTATTCCCAATTTTTGAGTCACAAGTGTAATTCACCTTCAATTAAGATTTACGTTAAAATTGTTGTTTAATCATTAGATAAAATATCCTGCATCTAATTGTTAGACTTACTGTCATTAGACAGCAGTGTTCCCATGGTACGTCACAAATTGACAAACTGCTTACCGTTCTGCCAATCACAAATATATTAATTAATCACCAACCCACCATCGGCTCATTCATGTTGTCAATTCAACTCATCCGGAAAGAGCCATTTGAGTAGAATACACGTTGAGGGCTAATTAACTTCGCCTGTCAATGAACCAGGAGCATTTTGGTTCTCCCACGAATGTCTTTTTCGATGCACAAAATTTGAGTCGTCAAAGTGACAGATGAAAAAGTTGAGATAGTGTGGGAAGGCAGCTGGGCATTAGGGAACGTGGAGTTGACTTGATTGTTTGATTGATTGATCGATTTGGGGTCGTCAGATTTTGTGTATGACGCATTCTTATTATCCCTTAATTTCCCACATTGAAGTGAGTCTTATGGAGAAAGGAGGGATAATACCGAGTACTCCTCCTGTGGGTCTTTTCTGTCGGTCAAAGTAAAGCCATACCTACTCATTGGGACATTTATTTATTTCAAATGGCAGGCATTTTGATAGCTATCATTAGCCCTTTAGCTGACTTCGGGCTCCATAGAGAGGAGAAGGAATATCAAAGTGAAAGACAGTAAGAGGGGGGGGGGGACAGAAGAGTGTTTTAAAGAGACAAACACAAAGTCAGAGAAAAAGGAAAGGTGAGTACTGTGAAGTAGTCGAATATGACATACAATGGAGTGATGGTAGTTTGAAGTCAGAAGCCAACTGCCGGTTTATTGACTTTTTTGCGTATGATTATACGTTGCCTAGGGTGCACCAAGTGGAGGTAAGTCTATCGCACACCCCCTCATTGGGACATAATTTTAATCTTCCGTATATAGCTTGTCAACACTAGGGTGGTTTCAATTCATGTTTTAATTTTTAAAGAGTTCAGTAATATGACCTCTTGACATTCTCGCAATAACTGTAAGTTAAATCTAGTGCTATTTTTGAGGTTGACGAATAGGTTTGTAAATAAAATGACGACCTTTTAACATCTGCATCAATCCAACCCATGATGAAAAATATTTTTTTAGCTTGAAAGTTAAGTTTTTTCCTTATCGGTTGACCTTATTTTTACAACTAGGTTTCCAAAAATGTCCCAGATGTACACAAATAACAAACTGGGAGTGTTGACCTATGCCAACCAATCAATTATTTGGCGGCTTGGTAGGCCATAAATTTCGAAAGGCCTTAACAAGTCGCAAATGCCTTACAAAGTCCAGTTTAGTGGTTATAATTAATAACTTTTTACTCTTTGTGTGTGTGTGTTTACTCTGTATATGAAGCGAATGAATGAATGAATGAAAACGATACTTGTGTATGTATGCAATTTGTCGGCGGCGACTTTAAATCTTCAAAGACCCGACACACACACACACACCCCACTTAAGTGTGTCGATTATAATGACTGACGCCCCCTCAGGGGAATTTAATCGTAACCTCAAGTCCTTAGATGAAGTGCTGTAGTGTTTCTAAATTGATTCCTGAGTGTACTAAGAAAAATGTTCGTTTTCCAACTGCGACTTGCACATAAGTAAGACAATTGATAGTTATCAATCTGGTTAAGGAATTCAAATTCAGCTCTCCACACCCACATGCACACCGATTGATTTCAAAGCCGTAACACCTAACCTGTCAAATATATACTGAGTCATACCTTGTTAATAAATTTTCCATAAACTATTATCTTCCAAATCACAGTTAATCGGTGAGGTCCAAGTAGTGATGCTTTTGGGCACACTTCAGCTGGTTTAAACCCTTCTTCAGGGTACCATTAAGCCTACCCCTTATCTAGAATAAATAATTTAATGACATTATGAAATAAAAAAATTGAATTTCCCAAATGAGCGGAGTTTAAGAGTGCAAATTCAATCCTGATATTTCCTACCTTATATGTGGAGACTACTATTTATACCATGGGCATGAATACCGTAATAGCAGTGGCTGGCTTTAAAATCAAGTTCAATTCCTCGATGCCAGACCAAGCTCTTTTAGGCGTTATTGACAATTTGTAAAATTTTATGAGATCCAATGCTAAAGTGCCTATTTTTAGTCTCATTTGTAATTTTGAGAGGAGGTACAATATAATTAATCAGTCACAAAGGCTTTTAATATTGTATCCATGAGATTACCAAAATTTCTCAGTCATTGAAGTTTAAGCTTTTGGAACAATTGACTAATACGATGCTAACTTACCGATTCCAAAATCTATGTTTACTATATATTCCGATGTCATTACTAATCAAAAACGTTTAAATGTGCATTTGTCTCGTGTATTGCAATAATCATTTGTCATTTTCCACAGGAATTTTACAATTTCTAAAATAATGGCTTTCAAGTGACATAAAAGCTGATATTTTGCTCTTAAGCCCCCGTATTTCAGAATCAATTATAATTTCCAGATGGAAGCTAAAACTGATACAGTGAATATATATAATTTTTTAGTTTAGAAATCAATTTTCAACCACTGTAGTAATTAATTACCAAAGCAGCCAGTTCATTTATTATTTTATCCAAAACCCTTGTTAATCATCAATCTCTATTTAACAGGCTAATATTAACACCAGAGAATAAAGATTAATTGAGTTTAAGTTTCTTTTTTCAGGTGCAAAATTTTTCTTCCAAATCCCAAAACCAAAGAATTTGAAGATTTCTAGTATTTTGGAATCCCTTCTGATATCAATTAGCACCTTACCATTGTTGATTACAGCCACGCCAATATGTTTTATGAGTCTTAAATATTCATATTTAGCATAATGAGACTGATCGGTAATAATTGCGGAAAATTTGTTTGAGCGAAGTTAGCCTTGAAATGATTGGCATTGCTAAACCCCCTGTAAGAATCAAATTTTGGGCTAATCTTTCTCCTCGTTTCACTTTACTCTCACGGTTCTGCAAAGCTCATTTTGGAAAATAGACACATTTCATTCAAAATTTGCTTATTTTTTATACTACTTACAAAAAATAGGCTTTCCAGCTGAATCAGCCTTGCAGTGGTACTCAAAATGTTTTAGCATGGATGATTGAATTAGCTGTCATGGCTATTACTATTAATTTTCAATCTGGTCTTAAAGCCAAATCGTTTCAAAACCATTTTTTAAGTATTTATTAGCATCATATGACTACAAATTAGCACAAATATTTTTCAGTCAACCCCCCCCCCCCTCTCGCTCTGCTAATAGATTGGCGAAAAAAGCACTTTCAATCTAACTGGCAAACCTACATTAAAAGAGAGCATGTTTGTTTTGATATAGATAAGCTCATATTTGTTAAAGTTAACTTTTGCCTTTTGGGCATGTACAAGTAAGCTTAAATACGCATATGGAGGGCAAATACGAGGGAAGAAAGTATATATGCACTTTGAATATGTATATATGGAGAGGACTGGACAGAAGATATTTCGGAATCAAGCAAGAGAGAGAGAGAGAGAGAGAGAGATAACAACAACAGGAAGATTGATCGGATTGATTTGATTTCCCATAGCGACGAGATCAGTGCATTGGACGGACAAACATAAAATTTGAAGGATGGGGAAAGGAGACTCAATCGTACAAAAAACAAATGCAAGCTCCCTTTCGCTTTACTTTTGATATTCTCTGAAAGACTAGGTTGAGTGTGTAGGGGGGTGGGGAGGTAAGTAACGTGGTGTGGATTAAAGAATTTATTGGTTAGTGGACCCCGTCAGTCCCTCACCATAGCCGGCGGGGCGAAAAAGGTTCAACCAAGCAATGAAAAGGGAGTTGGGATCAGAAGGAACCATGGGAGGCTGAATAGGAGCAGGAGGAACTTGACTTTCGGGGGCTTTATGTAGCAACTTCGAGTAGAAAGCGGCCAGATCGAATGGGGAGGTACTAGTAGGGGGGATTATCGGAGCTTGTTGGGGTGGGCGAGGAGGGGTTAATGAGGTTACTGCCGATTCTGTCTGCTGTTTATGAAGAGAGGCCAGATGTGTGTAGATATGTTGAACCAGACTGCTCATATCTGAACATACATGGCCGCAATATAGACACTGAGTGCTGGGATCAAAAACACTCCCTTGAATGATCTTTGACTGCTGTTGCTGATGCTCAAGGAAAAGATTTGTTTCAGCAGCACGGCGTTCAGATAAGGAATGCGCAATTGACACAAGAAGTTCGCGTAGACTGTCTGGAGAAACACCTAGCAAATTACCGACACTGAAGAACGCTTCAAGAGGGTTTGAACTCGCTGAATTACTTGAGTCAACGGGCATAGACAGACCAGCAGTTGCCAGATTCTTCATGAACTCAAAAGAAGCAGGATTAATGCTAGGTGTTTGGGACAGATTCGTGGGAGGTGGGGAAATGTGGGAGGGCGGAGTCGATCTCAGCGACGAAGGCGAAACTGAGGAAGAAGAAGTCGACAAGGGGGAAGAATGGGAGGATAAATGCGAGGAAAAGTCAAGTGGTTTAGAGGTTCTAGATGTCCTTCCAAAACTCTGCCTCCTTGCCCGTTTAGGGAGCCTAACACTGGACTGAGATGAGGTTGTTGCTCCATACTTGGAATTTGGGGGTTGTACATCAAGAGCCTTGTTGCTACGCTTCTGTCGTTCACCAACAAGATTTATTGGATTCGGTGCAGGACTTGGGATTTTCAGACTGGACGAAAGTCGAGCGAGTTGGATTAAAGAATTTGAAGAAGGTGGAATGTACAATCCAGAATCTTCTGTCGAGGCCGAAGCTAAAGAGGGAATAGAATTTGATTGGGCTGCTTTAGGGCTGTGCTGAGTTATTGAGTTCTGAGGAGGGAAGGTTTGAACAGGTGGAACCATTGTAGTTGAAGCTTTAGCAACATTTCGATTTGTAAACACTTTGTTGAATGAACTCGAAATAGAGAATGAATTGTTGTTGCTAGGCGACTTTACTGTTCCATTTGTAGATGATTTCACAGAACTGCCGGACAATGAAGATGTGGTCGAAGAGGAGGATTTGGTTTCAACACCGATATTTTGGCAGGTGCGTGCTAGTAGAAGGAGGGGGTTTTGTCCGAGGAAATCGTTCTACAAAATGCAAAGACCGATCAGACAAGAGCATTAATCATTCTCCTTGGTGGATCAAAACTGCTTTCCTACTAGCGCACTAACAAAATCAAACCAATGTGTGAATGTCTATAAGTGTGACATAGGGACTAGAGGGGCTTTGGAAGGGGGGGGGGGAGTGGCAGG